GCTGGATGCACGTCAGCACCGGTAGTCCCTAAAACCCCTTGCAGGGTCCATTGCCTTGGCTCCACGAGGGCTTCCGGGGATCGCTGAGCAGATCCACCAGTCCTGACCCAGCAAGGGCACAGGGACTGGTTTCAATCCATCCAAGGCAGCTCCCCAAACCAGCATGGTCTGAAGGGAGGCAGCTGAACACGCCCAAGGAAACCTTTGTGGTCAGCAGCCTCGTGAACCAGCCTCTCCACCTCCATGCTCACGACCAGCCCTCACTGCCCTGTCCGGCTCGGCCACGAAGGTTCAGCTCCCATCACCGCGCAGCCACTCACAGCCGGCTCTTTGCATTTATCTCCTTGCCATCCACCCAAGAAAAGCCCCACATTGTCTCCGAGGTGAAAAGCAAGCTGCTGTGTCACTTGAGTGCGGTTGTTTTATCTGGAAAGGGGCTGAGCGGCTTTGAAAGCCGGTTTCTGTCCAGCTCCGCGTGCGGGGGGACTTGGGGGTCTTCAAAAGGTGCAAATTGCAGCTGCACAATTAAGTAACGGGGTGTGTCCCGGCCCCCGCGGTCCCCTGGGCAGCACGGCCCTAAGGAGGAGACAGTGGCATTACTAATCAGGGCTTTGACCTTTACATGGCTTTTATTTAATACGCATTCCACACTTCCCCAAACTCCCATCCAAAACATTGACATTTCCGCTGATAGATTGGGTCAGATTTTGGAGTAGTTGGGGGACTCAATTCACTCTTACAATGGTTAAATTCTTACAGCTAAATGGGCTTATTCAGTTAGTGCAGCAGCTGGTGTGATTTCGAGAAGAAAATAAACATTTCCTTCAAATATTTTGATTGGCAACCGGACAACTGAAATACTCAAGCTCAGATTGCCAGGGTCCAAAAAAGCAAATGGGGGCTGGACAGCGAGGAAGGGAGGCAAACCGTAGTAAATCCTGCGCTACCACGCAGATGTGTGTGTGAGATGTGCTGTGCCGGAGATGGGGACAGCGAGAGGGGGTTTGCGGAGCGCGTTGTCGGCTGTGATTCCGAAGGGAGCGCGGGGCCCGAGGGTACGGCTTCACCCGCTCCGATTTCCCTGGCACTCGCTTCCCACGTTGCGTGCTCCAGGTTGCCGTTTGACGGCTGGCTGAGTGTGCCGGAGGGTTGCTTTGCTGCTGGGTTAGGTGGTTATGGAGGGTATTAATGGCGGTGTTTTATTTGGACCCCATTTCAGCGGACATCTCCTCAGGTGCAGGGCAGGAGCGCTGATGGCCCCGGCCGGGGACAGCGGGCACGGGGCTGCGGTGGCTCTGACCTGTGTGGATCTGTGAGGTGGAGGGGCAGCCCTGAGGTGAAGGAGACGGGATGGAGGGGCAGCCCTGAGGCAAGGACTGAGATGGAGGGGCAGCCCTGAGGTGACCGCACTGAGGTGGAGGGGCAGCCCCGAGGCGAGGGTTGAGACGGAGGGGCAGCCCTGAGATGATGGCGATGAGGTGGAGGGGCAGCCCTGAGGTGATGGCGGGGCAGCCCTGAGG